AAGTCTGCAGCTCACTGCAGCTGCAAGGTCTATTTAACGGCTCTCAGAGAAAAGATATAAAATAATTATAATGAACATATCAACATGATACATTTCATATTAAAGAATAAACAGTATATTTCGAAGCCAAAGAATGATCTTTTGTGTTTGCTAGACAGTGTTAGACACCCATAGTTGAATTAGACACCCCGGCGTAGCCGCGTAGGGCGTACACGCTACTACATGCTTGATAGGCTGGCGACAATGTTTTGATTTTTGAAATTGGAGATGCAAAATAATAACCCGAATGTAAAAAATTTACCCCAAATCTAATAAAATAGGATAATTATATGTATTCAAAGCCTTCAAAAATAACTAAAGAAGTGAATAAACCACTAAACTAACCGAACAAATGAAATTATTATTGATATTATACAGACTACAGTATTTCTCTTGGGTTTCGATTGAACGGATAGCATTCACTTCCCTTGTCCAATCATAATTATGATTGAACAGGGGAAGATGGGTATTGTGCTAATGGAATGCTTACTTCAGTACTGATATATTATAATCCGATTGTTAGCGTATTATGTAACCTATCTTCTATCTACTAGCTTAACTTTATTATTTGATACGTATTTTGGACACGTCAGCAGTTATAACCTCGTGGGGACCTACCTCATCAAAGTATAGCGGTTTATTAGGCCGTAGGCCTGTCGCCGATTCTTAACATCGCAGAACATTCACAGCATTTTGAGGTCTCGAACTCGCAACGCACTGCTACAATTCTGCTGTGCTTAACCGCTCGGCCTCCTTGCCGATTCTGACCAGAAACTGGCGCACAGAGCTGGGATCGAACCCGCGCCTCTCTAGTGCGTCAATCTTGGTACTCTGAACTTTAACCACTGGGCCACCCTGCCCTACCAAGGGGGCAGGGTGGCCCATGTAAAGTATAATCGTATACCCATGGTTTACACAAGGTCCCAGAAGGATTGCTAGAATTTGAAACAAGAACCAACGCCAGGGGTAACGGCTATAAACTGAAAAACTGCGTTGCAACTCACTCATGCGACATTTCTCGATTCAAGACGCAAGTCACCGACATGTAAAACAGCCTCACTGATTGCCGGTACGAGTATGAACGCGTTCACGAAAAGACTAGATACAGCTATGAAGAAAATATATGTTCAGACTTGAAATGCCTAGCACCATATTGACCCTAGTGAAAGTCTAGTAGCTATTTCAAACTATCGTCAGCTTTGAAAAGATCCGGCCAAAAGAAATTTTAGATCTGTGAACAATTCACGAAAAGTACAAGAATCGGCGACATCCTGACAGGCCACGTCTAGCCTATTCTTCATTGCCGACATCACTATAGATTAGCATGTGGATTTATAAATTTTCCACAAGTCGGCGCATTGCGGAGGGCTGGGAGCTGTAGGTGTCGGTTCTTTAAAACTTTCCCTTACGGTATGATCGGTTCTGTGGACCTATTCAGCCTTGGATCGAGTTTAAGACCTGCTTATAGCTGCATATGCAAATAACGCGACTCTCTGGGAGAAAAGCCTCTTTACACTGGCGATCTTCCCAGGATTGGTTCAGCTGTGATTCCGCCATTATATGCGTGCTAGACCAGCCTCGTCTTGGGAGCGATCAAATAAGCGTGGTATTCATATCATCGGTTGTAAGTGAGATGAACAAAGATGTACCCGAGCATATCAAGTATAGCAAATACTAGTAATGCAGCTGGCAGGATGCATTGTTGCAGCTGAAGTGGTGACACTTTGCTGCAAAGCATGTGTACATTGTCCAAGGACGTAAATACCTACAAGTGCAAAGAGACGAGTCTAGTGCAATACCAGTGAAAGATAAATCGGTATGTATCGATTATCGGCTATGCCAGGTAAGAGGTTTTCATCGTCACACTTCACCAAGATAAACTGGGTATGGAGTACACAGGTTTGAACAACATACTTTTATTATTAACTCTACACATTTTTTATTTCCATCATGAAAGAAAACAGTAAATAATTATGGTTTATATCTCTTCTTGGAGCAACACAACAACAGTTCATACGCCATGTGTACAGAATACACTTAACTCATACTGGCAATTAAGAACTACAATCAGCACCATACTAATGTAAATTAATTACACTCTCTGTCAAACTGCAATCAGCAGAAAAATTCAATCAACATGATAATAAAACGTAACTCAACAAGAACGAAGTAAAAGGCATGATATTAGCTTCCATGAGTTACAACGCGAGCCCTCTACACACAGAAACTTCTAGAACCTCTCGGAATTGAATTTCAACTTTGACAAGTTTTGCTAGCCACGTTGCTAGAACTATCAGGACGCGCCTCATTTCGAGTTGAAACCTTAAACCTTGTGAGAATTCTATGTCGCTCTGTTAAAGCGTTAAAATATTCGTGTGTGGAGGGACTGCACAAAAAACCGGAGAGGAAGGGAGGTGGGTCGTCTCTAAGAATTCCATGTTCGCTAGCTCTAAACACTAAACATAGTGACTATACTCTGCATACTCGAGGAAAGTGTTATGTCTCACAAGGTACATATGTACATTCCAAAGTCGTTGCCTACAGCAACAGCGAAAGATACCATTAATAAGACAGAAAACCAAGATATCTTGCCAACACAATTTCTTTTACTAGTATTGACCGCGAAGGAAAAACTATAAATCAGCTCTAAGATAAGATAAAACGTACGATTAAAACGAAACTAAGAAAGTATTTCAAAATTCGTGACTCCAGGTAATGGAACTTAATGCTCACATTAACAGCAGTGGCTTCGGTTGATGGAGGCCAACAGGAGACGGCAAACACTTTCCTCCCAAGAGGAGATAACAGAAGTTGGTCGATGCATGGCATAAGAGCACATGTCCCTCAAAAACGTAACAATAGTTACCGCAGACATTCAATCTGTGACAATATATTTTTTAGCATAAAATATTCTATGTTAGAAGTTACGACCGACACATGAACGTAATTTAGGCCGTGATGAAATCATGAATAAAAATTTTGTATTTGACCTGAAATAATTCGAACCTTGAAGTTGAAGAAAATTAATAATAAAGTCAAGAATTTATTGGGCATTCTTCGAAAATTAGGCAGCGCATTTCTACTATTAAGGTCCACGTCTCATGTCAAGGCTGGCTATTCGTAACAATAGACTGTAGATAATGACCCCGGTAGTAATCCGATAATGAAAAAAGCGAGGGAGATAGTCAGTTACGTAAATTAAATTGGAGACTTAAAATATGAATTGGCACTGCAATTAGGCGGTGATTAAGTGAACGCTGCTATTTGTATTTAAATGAGCGTTACGAAGAATGCCTTAAAAAGATCGTAAAACTGAGATCCTCATTAATCATCAAAGCAACAAGCAAACAACAAAAACTCGACAAAATTAGAATTAATTGGATATTTAAATAATGATTTTTCCAGTACTTGCAATACACTGACAAAAATTGAGACTTCAATTCAGCACCGATCTGTAACGATATCGTAAAATTTGCAATGCTATGCAGCTAACAAATACTGACCAATGATAATCCTAAGTCGGTGAAAAATTTACGATTCACTCACTATTCGAGACGTAACAATTTGTACAACAAAATCAATGCACAAGTTACACGCAAATAGGATACTTAAGTATGTAGTATAAATTCTTAACGGTCAAGTTGTATTAATTTGATAACACACGTGCGGCTAAAGAGAATAAACCAATTTCTTTCCATACACACGTTTTGCTCTCAATGATAATAATCAATGCGTCATTGACGTTATTGAATATATAATTACCAAGTGCAAATGTTGCTTTGTTAACATCAGTACGACAAGAAGGTTCGGAAAGAGATGTGAAGTCTCTTTATGACACAATAGAAGAGTGTCATCACACGAGATAAGAAGTTTTGGAAGAGTAACAATAATCCGTTATGTAAGGTAAATGGAAACATTCTTTTAAGTGAGCGAAGGCTGCGGAAAATTTGGAAGAGAACATTACATATAGTTGAACAAATTTCTGGAAAAGAGGGATAGGAAACCGGAGATGAAATCATTATTGGTTCGAGACAGACTCTGTGATACGATCATCTAGTAAATCCCTGGAAATTATACACTCTTATGAAATGAGGTTGCTTTATTACGTTAACGTAGAAAGGATACGTCAATACCGCTACGAAATTTAGGAGGAACAGGTTTCAAAGATTCGGAAAATCTGATTACACGTTAGGACAACAATTGTCTACTATGTAAGGTTTTATCAGCCACAATTCTTCACAAGTGTTTCAGATAGCTTACGAACATATAACACAGACGCTCGATCACGTCTGTTAGAAGAGACGACTACTAAAGGTCAAATATTGCTGGGACTTACTCATAATCTTATTGACAAAAGCTCATTGCAATTCTTGAGGTGCACTCCGATTTACGTTGCGGTACCCTACAAAATCGATCACGAGCCGGCACTCATGTTCACAGACATCTTATTCAGCTATGCAAGATTCGGTAGAGTTGTGCAAGACGTACGTTCAGCTGCGCGAATTCGCAACTTTCATAAATTTGATTTCTCAGGTGAATATACACATCCATTTCAGTACACAGGTTTGAGTATCAAGTTCTGAATCAACAAAGAATTGAATACACAATCTCTTTCTGCAGTGTAACTAATTCATATTCAGTTTTCAGTTCAACACAATTCTTACTCATTTAGTCACCGGCCTCAACTTACAAATTCCATCGTATTTGAATTTCATTAGGCTGGCTGAGTTATTTAAAGTAGTGGAGGAGGGAGGTGGTGGAAGAATAAGTACATTACATGGTGAAATCGCGAGGCTAGGGCACTATAATAGAGACCATTTCCACTTTGTTCTATTTTGGTCGTTGTAGTTCAATTCATTCAAAAAGTCTCCATAATCTGATCTGAGATAGGATTTTATTCGCTTAAAATATAAAGAAACAGTCTTTTCACAATGTTTAAAAAAATGCGAGCACTATTGCCTGGTCTATTCTATAAATATTTAATTTCAAACAACAAATAATTCAAATTGAATCTCCCACTAAATCCTTAGTTCGAGCGAAATATCAGCTCTTAAAATTGATTGTAGAACCCAGCATTTTGAACGCGCATCCATGATCATCAAATAACGCACTAGCCATATTTAAAAGATAATCCCCATAAAATTGCACACTACATCAGTAAAAATATTCAACATTCAAAATGAATTCCTTCTAGACGACACAGTAACTTGATTTCGATAATAATGTAGCTTTTATTTGGCATAATGTATTCGAAATGTTTTTAGCTAACTCTTAAACGGCTTAATAATCAAAGATAGGAAGAAATCGATTGTGTCTGGCAAGTTCATCGATCTTTCTCAGCGGGCATTGGATTGTTGTCGTATTGTTCGATTTCGTGGTCTTGTTGCGGCAGCACAGGGAAGGGCTCATCTCGGCTCTCGCTCGCATGTCTACTAAGCGAGTCTCTCTCCTGGTCGAGTGTCACTGTGGCCACCAGGTTGCCAACCGCCCTCTCCAGGTCGCCTTCAAAATTTAAACAACAAATAGAAAAAAGTACATTACCTGATGCGAAACAAAATAAATTCTTACAAACGTTCCAACAAGAAACTGCTATTTGCCCACGAAAAATAAAACGCACATAACAAAAATATGAAATAGTTGAAGACTATACGAACATCTTTGATAATAATTTCCAGCAAAACCGTTTAAATGATCGGAAAATTCCCAAATGGGCAACGAAGAACTATGATATAGCGGACGCCTTCAAAAAGGTTTAAGTAAAGTTTGCCTTCAGATAATTAACAGGTTTCCACGAAATTTAAACCCAAGTTCTCTGTATGTTAATAACAAACCTTACCATCCTGATCCTCTGTAAGGCGCTGCTTGGAAATGAAGAAGACACAATTGTTAAGCGGACTTATTCAGCTCGCATTGAGCGGTTCATAATACACATTGAAAGGGCTCAATAAAATCATTGAAATCAATCAAATGGCTCAAAAAACTCAACAAGCACGCTCATGAAACTCTTTGAATGGGATCGTTAAACTGCATAAATGATTTAGATTTCGAATTTTCGATATAATAAAATCTAGACCACCATCCTACATTAGCCGCAAGAAAATTAATTAGATTCATCGAGAGGTATTAAAGTAAGTTTCTAGCAAATTATTTGAGCTTCAACATGTACGATATTCAAGTCAGAACTGCAGCTTTAGAATTAATGAAGACAATAAGTAATAAATAAAAAAGAAGAGCAAGAAATCGCATGCTTAGAGAGTGAATGCCGATAACATAGACACATGAATATTAACATTAAATATTACAATAATATGAGAAGGTGATTAGCGGTTAAACATCCTGTAGGGAAAACGGAAAAAAATCATCTGTCAGATGATAAACGAATGCACAAGAGGTTAGCGTGCAGTGGTACATAGATCAGTAGGAGAGGCGGGTTGCTTGCATTCATGCAAACAAAAAGTAGAAATAACTTCCTGTGTGGTCCATTGTAATCGGTTTCGAAGATAACCGAATTTAAAGGTGAGAATGACGGCAAGTTCAGTGCATTCTAGGGAAAATAAATATCAGCGATGATATTTATGTTAGACTTGCGACTATAAATCGTGAATCACTCACGATTGATAAGTACAGGAAAATAACACAAACATAACTTAAAGAAAAACATTTACAGTATAGAAAAAATTTAAAGATTTACGAAGTAGCTCACATTCTAACAGTCAAAAATAATATCACAAGCAGAATTATAAGGAGAGTATAGTCAGTGTGAAAGCTCAAACGTAAAAGAAACGAAGAAATACTATGAGTAACTAGGAACGTCAAGATCTACCCAATTTAAGGACAATTTATCTACTAAACAGTCGGTGGCCTCCGTTCTTCACTTTCAAATTTGATTAAAAAATCGCTCAATTAGTTATGGTTATGAACAAAGAAAAGTCAAATTCAGTTCTTACAACTAAATGGTAGGCCTTGTCAAATATCAGTTATGATCAAGACATCAATTTGATTTATTTCCTTTTTAGTTAATTACTCAACTGACAGGAAATTGTACAACATTCTTATGATTTTTTAGTAAAATCAATTTTTAAAATCGAACTGATAAGTGAGGAACTAAGAAACCCGACATCACGAGACACAAGAAAGAGGAGGCATTAAAAACAAGCATGTCGTCAACATTTGGGAGAATGTCAACCTTAGCGTGGGGTTAGTCGCGACAGTTGAGGGTCTGCTGCTGTACCTGCGCGCGAGAAGAGATTGCCTACGTGGGCCACATTGCCCATGGGTGGGGGCGGTGGCCGCACATATTCGCTCACTTGGTCAAGCCCTTCGTAGGAGGAGGTGCTGGCACCTCCTGCCGCCACATAAGAGCATATACGTCAGTCGCATACATGATATTCTTTTATGTTCAAGACACTTCCAGTCGTTTGAAATCGCTTAATCCAACTTATACGTCAGTCGCGTACATGACATTCTTTTCGGTTCAAGCCACTCCCAGGGGTGTGAAATTGTTTAAGCCAACTATGATCCGAATTCTGAGTGAAATTGTCAATTTTAGAGGAGATAATTTTCCGAAGAGAGACACAAAGCGAAGATTATACCCGATAGGTGACATAGGACGTTGTCTGTTGGATAGTTGAAGAATCATTTGAATTGAAGAAAAAAGTAGGAGCGCAACGATATAAGGCAAGAAACTGAAATATGAATGAACGGCGATGTGCTCAAATATACAAAAGCAAGTAAAGAGGAAGAGTCTGTTGAAAGGAATTCTCGCAGTTGATGAAAAATTCTGTACGCTTTTCACCATTAATACAGTATAGAAAGTAATGGTCGAGAACTTTATAATTGTAACTATTGCAGCTTGCAGGCACGAAAGAAATAACATTTCGTGAATTGTAAATAAAGAAATGAGTTTAGAATCTGAGCATGTCATGTTCTCAGAAAATGGAAATTACTCCACTGACATAGAATTTTCACTCCAGTAAAAACTCGGCTGAATATATTAGTTTTTTGCAGCGCGAGTGATTAAAATGCGCCATTATTGTTTCGTATAAGCGGCCGTCGAGAAGCTTTGTCGAAGTACACGAGAGCTGAAAACGTCGGAGACCAGCAGCATAATTTGTGGTAGTATTTGGCAGGCACATAAAGATATCTATACAAAATATACATATACACAAACAAGAAGTACCCAGGCCCACAACACCTAGACTGAACTGCAGAAACACTAAGGGATTAGGAACTCACCTTGACTTGAGTGGCCGTTAACTTTAGCAGGAGAGTCGGTCGCTAGTTGGCTGGCAGTCACGGACTTAGTTTGCAGTGTGCCTGACTTGTTCATTGAGCTCCCGCCATTCTGTGGAATATCAAGTCCAGTAAACCCAACAGATAATTGAGTTTAAAATATATTTCAGTGCGAAAACAATAGGTTGCAAACAGGGTTCTCTTACTCCGATGCGACTTAAGAATTTATATTAAAAGGTCATGGTACACAAGTTCATATTTATCGTAAAAGATGGTTTCTAAGCCGCGAATTCGGTTTAAAATTAGAGTCAACCTTACAAAACGATTGCCATGCTCCCTATCTGAGTTTTGATCTTTAAATACTGCCTATTCAACCTGTAAGAAATTCGGCAAGTGCCAAACTCAAGATAAATAGTTGCAAGAACTTACCAGAATAACCAGATTAAAGTCTACTACTACACCTGCGGATTAACTTAACCATCTTTATAAAAGCATCACAAACCAACCTCCTTGTGTCAAGAGAGATACCCAGTGAAAATTTACAGACGCGTTAGCTTCTGATTTGGAGTACCAGAAGCTAGGGCGACTCTAAATTTTGTTAGGGTACTAACCTGCTGTAGGAGCTGCCTGAGCCTGTGCAGCTGGGCCTCGAGCTGCTGGTTGTGCTGCTCTAAGATCGTCATGCGCGCCTCCAGCCTGCCTTTGTGTTGTCGCAGTAGCCGCGCTTCTGCCAGCATCTCTGCTTCAGAGCGCAGCGGTGAGCCTCCTGAGCTCTGAGACGGAGAGTCGCTGGGCTCTTGCTGCAGTCGCAGCTGCTCGTACTCCGCTTGCAGAGCTTGGTTCTCTTCTTCCAATTCTCTGGATAATAACAACGAGAACTTTTTTATTACATACTCCACAACGAAGATTGATCAAGTAATATAAATGATTTTTCTCAAAGATATTCTGAGGAAGTTACACGTCGAATACCTCAAACAATATTGGGGTTTATCATTATTCTACGTGTCCTAAATCGAGCGAGCTACACTCTGACCAAACAAATATTAGTGAAAAAAATATAACTCAGTACTCACTGCAGTGAGTGACAGAGAGCGCATTTTCTCAAAATCGACGAAAACGTGAAGTCACGGACAGATGGACGGACATGACGAGCTCAATAGGTTTTTTTTTCATAAATAAGAAAATGCGCTAAAAAGACAATACAGACCGCATGCATGAAACCAATAAAAGATAGCTAGAGGAGCAAGACCGATAATCAGCAGGCAACAATTCCATGTTGCCACCTGATCATCTGCTCAACAACAACCAATAATTCCATGTTGCTACCTGATCATCTGCTCAAGTTCGTCCTTCTGGTCCGCATCGACGGCAGCCATAACTTGTAGCGGCGACCGCGGCACTGGCAGAGCGGCGCCGTCGCCTGAGCTCAGCGACTGGCAGTACTGAGCGATGAGACCGTGCTCGTCCTCACTGTAACCACACATTGTAATATTTTTAATTATCTGTAGATTGTAAATTCTTTATATGAGAACCAATTTTTTCATTTACAATTTTTAATTGAGAACCTTTATATGAGAACCAATTCTTAAATATAGAAGAACCAATTTCCCTGCACGGATATACAAGAATAAGATGTGAATCTTGATGTTACTAACAAACTTCCTAAACGCTTCGATATAAATATAACAGTAGTATAGACAATAGGCCTACCGTCACACTTTGCATAAACAGCTTAAATCATAGGTCACCACAACCATTTACCCTGAATCTTGTCTAACAAAATTAACCAATTACCCCTGAATAAAACCGATTCATTTACTCACAATCTTATTTCGAATATTGCCCATCGTAACACTTTGCATAAACAGCTTAAATCATGGTAATTGGTTAATTTTCAGGGTAAATGATTGTGGGTAAATGATCGGAAACCTATGATTTAAGCTGTTTATGCAAAGTGTTACGATGGGCAATATTCGAAATAAGATTGTGAGTAAATGAATCGGTTTTATTCAGGGGTAATTGGTTAATTTTGTTAGACAAGATTCAGGGTAAATGGTTGTGGTGACCTATGATTTAAGCTGTTTATGCAAAGTGTGACGGTAGGCCTATTGTCTATACTACTTATAACAAACAATTTTTATTAACGAACTTCGTCCACGGATTTTGAAGCAAACTATTAGCATATTATTTTGCGAAATAACTACGAATAATTCACCAAAAACTATTTATGAAAGGAGATTTGTGGGATTCACGGCTATGTAAAAACGTTACCCCAGAAGAATATTTAAACTAAGCGATGATAACAACGTTAGTTACCATTTAAAATGCAAAAATAATTGATCAACGTTGATGAAATGACAACAACGAAAATCTATGATTATGATTTAAACGAGTACCTGGCTTGTCCAGGGTGTTGTGTAATGCAAAAATGGTTCTGAAGGGTCAGCGAGCCAGTGATGGTCGTGGAGCTACCAGTGGCACCAAGTGCCCGGAAAAAATGACCTATCACCCCCTCCCTTACCTAGTCGCCACTACCAGGATGGGCAATTCAACAACAACAACATGATTTGACAAGAATACTTATAAGTCAATAATGGAACTAAACAAAAAAATTGATTGAATAATAGATTGAATAAAAAATAGATTGAACTTGATAAATTAAGTTGGCGGACTTTCCGTCAACTTCATTTATCAAGTTGATTGCCGACAATCACGAGTAAAATATAAGAAACAATTACTACGATCAGACATGTAGAACTTCAAACGCAAGACTTGAAAACGACAAATTTTCTGTTCACAGCAATAAGAGCAACCAGCTTATTAAAGTTTTGCAACGAAGCCAGTCAAAGATCAGGCGAACATCAGTCATCCTGACAGGCAGTACAGCATACCAATGTATTGCCTACGTATTTAAATAGCGCGGATAAATTGCGTTAGCTTGGGACCTGCCGAAAAGAAATTTATTTTTCATTTATCTCATGTCATAGTCAACTTCTTCGGAGTCTCTCCATATCTAATGAACGAATTTTCCAATTGTGATTGGGAATTACTGCATAAAAAGCTCGTAATATTATGAAACGTTAATAGGGAGTAGCTGGGATACGGGAGATGCGCAGGGACAACTCGGTTTAAGTTGCAAAGCTTAGAGCGGAGCCTAAAATCTACACAGCAATTGCAAAATAGGGCACTTGGACACTGAGCAGAGGCAGACACGTTGGGAGTGGGCGTTAAAGATGTAAGCGCAAATGGGACGTCACATTTTCGGCAGGAATCGGTCAGGATTGAAATTGCAACATATGCTCGATCAAGTGAAACAAAGTTTAGATTGTAACCACATTACAGGACTCCCAAAATATTTCTATAATGCCTAATTTATTTCTTAACGCAGTAGGACAGAAGGAGGTTAGAGTTCAAAATTTACGAGCAGTAAGGTGATATTAACACACGGTGATGTGTGCGGGGACTAACACAATGAATGTTATTGCGGAGATCAGAAACAAACATCAGACATCGCAAGAAGAAAGGCACGAGTTGGGTACAGATTTTCATCTCAAAGAGGCAGGGTACAGTACGGCTCCAAAGAGTTCATAAAAATTACTCACAATTCGGTACTATGCTTCCTTCTATGAGAGTGAGTGAACATTAGTACCGTAAATTAAGGTAATTCAACTGAAGCGATCTCTTCTGCAAAGTAATGTACGGTATTGAAAGACCATAGTCCACGACATACAAACAATCAAAAATTTATTAACATTTCGAAGAGACACTTAATTGAATAGTACAAGTAGTATTCCAGGGGAGTTTTCATAAGGCTCGTAAACAAAATGACGTTAAGCAACTGCCAGTGCTGAGCATTGGATAGCAACTGACCTATCAGGCGTGGAGTTAGAGTTTGTCCTGAGTTCGACTTCGGCGAGCCTGGAGGCGTATTGCTCGAGTCTGTTGTGCATGTCTTGGCTGCTGGACACGCCGTGCTGCGGCGACGGAGACGGCGACTCCAGTGGGTCTCCCTAAAAAAAAATATATATAACTCAGTACTCACTGCAGTGAGTGACAGAGAGCGCATTTTCTCGTCGGCGAAAACTTGCGGTCACGGACGGACGGACAGACAGACTGACAGACGGACGGACATGGCAAGCACAATAGTGCATTTTTTCCATAAATGAGAAAATGCGCTAAAAAGGGCAAATGATTTCAATTCTACTACACGCGCGTGAATTATTTTCTTACGGGGCAAGAATTATCGAATGCATATGTAAGCCCGAAAGAATTTCTTTCGGGTAAGAATGCATAGGGAAAGCAGTGTTTCTTGTTTGAAATTATCTACTATCCCAGTAAACAATATAATGATTATGAACGTTATTCATTCGTCGATCAAAAATATTCAAATTATAGAGCAAGAATTATCTAAGTCAATCGGGCACAAGCAATTTTCTTAGCAGAACATAAATTAGGAATGAATGCAGCTGATTTCCACTGTTACTCAACTGTTACTGGCAAGTAAAAAAGTAGAAAAACTAGCAAAATGAAGTTGGTTCTGATGCCGGAGATAAACAAAAATTCACTGAAGGAATCAATAAAAAAGCTCGCTTTATGTATTTTTACACAGATTAGTGATAAAAATTAGTTTAAAATTAAACAAACTTTAATTTTGACAAACCTATTAAGACTGATTTACACTGAGGGCTTACTACACTCGAGGAACTCACCTCCAGGACAGTCTGTACAGGGAGGTAGCCTTTTTTCGCATGCTTCTGCAACGCCCGTTTGGACTTGAATTTATTCTTTAGAGCCTTAGTGAAGTCCTTCACTTCGTCTCCGGCTGTTGTCTGTGAATAAAAATAAATATGAGAGCTTTAACCTAGAATAACCTGAATGAAATACATTAAAAAATATTGTGTTTAAGCATCAGCTGTTGGATAAATTGAACGCCTATGTAAGATGATCTCACTTGAAATCAATATAGGAGTGTGGCACGCTAAAATAGGAAGAACAAAAAGAAAACGCTCTCATACTCAAGACATCTCAATAACTCATGCATGAGGAGATTCAGGTTTAGAAATTAAACCTCTGACGTGATTTACAAACAATTTTATTGTTTGCACATAACATCTGATATTTTCTGTGTTTCTGACATAAGGACACTCACGGCAGAGCAGTACTCGTGCATGGGATGTGTGATCTTATGACTCTTGCTGCTACGGCCCTCGAAGAAGCACTGCTGGCACATGTCGAAGCCGATGCACTTGAGGCAGCGATAGCGCAGCCCCACGATGGGACATGTCTTGCAGATATTGCACTTTACCTGCACGCGTAACAAATAAGGATATTTTATCCCAGAGATGCGGACCAGTGAAGGATATTCGAGTTACATTTTGATTCGTTCGAGTTATATTTTGATTCGTTCGAGTTACATTTGGAATTATTCGTGGACAAAAAACGGAGCACTGGCATTCATATCTTACGGTTTGGAATCTGTGAAACCAAGAAAAACTTGCCATGACTATTGAAGATAAATATATTGGTGCAGTGCTGGCGCAGGAGTATTGTTCAAGGCCAAATTCCGAACTGAACACATTAACCCCTACAGTGGTGCGAAAATTGACCGTAACGAAACCGAAATGTGGCCAATTTGGTTAGTTTTTGTACTCAACCACTGCAGCGTTAAGAGGTATTACTCGGTGCATGCAAGATAATTGGAGCCTGTAAATTTCTGTATTCTTAATAGTCGCACCTGATGTTGAATCTGTTCGGAGGCAGCAACGCGATGCAGTACAGCAAGCCACACCAGCGACTGGGGCTCTTGTTGAACCCACGACAAGAAGTGAACAGCCTAGCCCAGACATACATATTATTCAACAGCGGAAAGGTAAAATAGAAGATGAATAAGAAGATCAGTTTGATTAGTTTAGCTAAATTAATTTCAGCAGAGAATTTCAAAAACAAAGAAAAGGCTATAACAAACTAACATAATTCAATTGAACGAACTAGCTAAAATTGTATTCTGAAAATTTTAATTCATTATAAAGACAGTTTGCTAAACTTTCTAATTAAAATATATTAAGGAATCTCATTGTCTTGACTTCACTGAAGGAAAAGATAACTTCAACTGAGAAACGAGTTGCTCATCCTTTAATCTCTTTAAAGCGAAGTATAAAAAAATGCATCTTCATTATGCACCAAAAAAATAACAGACTGCAAACGAAGGAAATAGTAAGGATGAGACAATGAATTATAGCCATATGACCAAGTTAGATGCAGTCGGGAACTAGCAGTACGTTGAACTCACTTCGATGGTATCCCTGTCTTTGCCGGCCTTGGTGAAACAGCTCCTGACTGAAGGTTCTATGTTAGAACCTCCAAAGGCGGCGACCTCTCCGAGCTGCCGAGGAACTTGCACGCAGTCGTGCAGCAGCAGCCCAAGCTTGCGCTGGTCAACTAGTCGGTTCGGGTCGGCGATCAGTCGGAATACATCTGCGCAATGACATTTCATCATTAAAAATCACATTTTATTCAATAAACTAAGCGGCTACCAAACATTTGTTGAAAGCCGACAACATATATGCAAAGAATTTAACTGATTCTCAAATATAAAATCGTTGATATGCCAAGAGAGCAGATCGTGCTGTTCGCTCACTCATACCAAAGCATCAAATCACTTTTACAAACAAGTGTTCAATCACTAGATTCCTCTAGACGCCACTCACATCTATACTTCTCCTCAAGATGTCCCTTGCAGAGGCACACGAGCCCGACCCTGAAGGATAGGACGCGCATTTGCCCGGTCCTCTGACTATCGTACACGTTGAGGAGCCAATTGAGGCAGAGGTCTGTGGTGAGGTTCGTGTTGATCTCGGGCTGGTCTGATGCTATGCGACTGTAAAGCGTTGACAACACAACGACCATGTCTGACACCTCAATGAGGCGGTCGTTCTGCCCGCGCAGGCCATGCTCGTCGAACACGTCCGTAACGAGTTGAAGGTTTGCTTGGTCCACTGCAATGCACGAGTGAATTAAATTATACATTACATTGACGAATGATGAGTAAAAATCTACATCTAGGAATGATCGTAATTAAAAAAAAGGAAAATCCCCAAAAATTCACGTTATTTTTCGTGAAAATATAGACCGATTGCATCGGAGCATTGGACCAGCTCTATCATCAATTCAAAATTTAATAGTACAAGAATAATAATACAAGATTGACTAATGATCTACACATAATTTAATGGTATACTGTGAAACCTAATAAGTTACCTAGAAAATTTTAGAACAGAATGTAAAAATCTTTTACAAATGGTGTTAACTGTTCTTCAAAAAATTGGCAGTCAGAAAAAATCAACAATGAAAAGTGTTATTTCAACTTTGCCTTCAGAAAACCAATTGTCAATTCAGAATAGAGTTGTTTTACAAATCTAAAACAAGCAGTTAGCTTGAAATCGTCAAAAAATAAATTCATTTCACGAGATGGATTGACTTACGTGCTAATTTCTTCTGTAAAGCTCGAAGTTTAGCAGCAGTGCGGTATGCCGAGAACTTGATGTGGTTCAGGTCAGCGAGAGCGTCAAACAATGACATCATCTCAGGGTGATCCCAGTACGTTGTCTCCTGAGCGTGACTGTCAAAAAGAAAAAGGTAACAATCAACAAATGAAATCGGACCACAATTTTGGAATTTAAAGCAACAGGACACCAGTTAATGACACGACAGAAATTAGAGGAGAAGGCCTGAAACGTTATCAAAGTTAAATATACTTGTATATAACATTTAACACATGAAATCGGACCACAATTTTGGAATTTAAAGCAACAGGACACCAGTTAATAACACGACAAAAATTAGAGGAGAAGGCCTGAAACGTTATCAAAGTTAAATATACTTGTATATAACATTTAACACATGAAATCGGACCACAATTTTGGAATTTAACACAACAGAACACCAGTTAACACGGCAAAAATTAGAGGAGATGGTCTGAAACGTTATCAACGTCAAATATACTCATACATTTAATATATTTACGAGTTTCACATTAAAGATTGGTAAGGCGGCATATAAAGATCAAGTGATATGGAAGGAAGAGTTAACTCACTTGATATAATAAGGCACTTTATTGGTAGCGATAGCTCTCTCCCAGGGGCTCGACACCGACGACCCAAGCTGCGCGGCGGTGAGCGGCGTCACCTCACGCGACCTGCCCGCAACCTGTCGCCACCTGCGCTCGTGACGAGACAACAAGAGCTTATTTAGCTGGCAATTAAAGCTTTAATAAAATATGTGATAACTTCGTAATTCAATAGCTTGAATACTGAAACCTCTATTTTCGTGAGGATTTCAGATGCAAACTCCTAAGTTCTATTACATATTTTCTACTGCATACAAATATTCAATGAACGAAGATTGACCATCGACGGTACATTGGACCAGAAAACGCACAGGGATACACAAGGTTTTGGAATAGGGGAGCTCCTAAAAGTGAAGAAGGAATCGTAACAGAGGTGGCTCAAGAATCGAGAAGCCTTGGTGCGGGAAAGGCATTAGAATTGAAAAAGTTTTTGAGCACAAAAATTCTCGTAGCAAGAAAGCATTGGAGTTGAGTGGGCAATGGAGCTGAGATGCCATATGAGTAGAAGAAGCCTTGGAATGAAGTTCACTATTGCACTCACTACTGAGTGCCACCATTGCACTCACCGCTGAGTGCCACCATTGCACTCACCGCCGAGTGCCACCGTTGCACTTACCACCGAGTGTCACTCACTAATGTCAGTGTCACTCACCGGTCGTTGACGGCTCCTTCGAAGTTTTTCCAGCGCGAGTTGAGCCTGTGGAGGCGAGTGCTGTTGTCGGCCGCCAAGGGAATGTTGTGCGCGGAGAACCGCGCCGCCTGATCGTTCACGTCATCCACACCGCGTTGAAGGTCTGACAAACCTTCCCGGAATTTCTGAAATATTTCACTCGTATCAGTTTGTATGTTAATTCACTGAACAATTAACACGTGTTAGGTTAGGATAAATGAAAAGGTGACATAAGTAAGTGGACATATAAATTTAATTTCGATATTAGTGGACTAGAAACTGTACACCTGCTGACCAGCAAGAAACAATTGGTTTTAATATTTTTGATTCTTCAAATAAATTGAGAAATTAACATCAAAACAACATTTTAGGATTTTCAGTTATTTAAATTGAAGATAATTACCTCATGAACAATTGAACACGGGTGTGGAATGATTAAAAATCACAATTCCTAACCCTAAACAACGCATAGGATTGGACACCACAACGACGGCTCGACCAAGAAGTAACTAGCAACACTCACGGTGACGTTGTGCACGTGTTGGTCGGCGAGGTTGGGGTCCTGAGGCACAGGCCCCCAGCTGGAGACGGTGTTTTCAGCCGCATCCAGGCGACCTTCCACCTCCTCCAGCGTCTTCTGCAGCACTCCGAGCTTCTGCACGTGAAAAATATGCAAGTGAACAAAATCATCCGGGAAAGTTTTTAAATAAAAACGTAGTTTAGTCGTGATCAAATTCACATCGCCTTCTCTAGAATACAACATAATCATATGAGCAATATGCACAAAATTTAATCTACTGCACGAGAACGCAAAAACGTACGACTAAATATATACTAGCCAGCAGAATGGAGAACCTTGAAAATAAGAAATTTAATAACTGCCGCAGTGACATCAGCATCAATCTAACGTCGGAAAAAAATAAATCAGCAAAACCTGGCACTACGGATTCAAATTGGAAGCGACACAAAACCCCGCAGGCGCACGGATTACAGTGTGCATTTAATCACACAATTGAATGGTGGAGGAGAGACCACCGCATATCATGGCGCATGGTGCCGGTCGCACACGCAGCTTCTGACAAGCGTGGCGAATGCGTAATTAAGGGAATCATGATGATTGCCGTCATCAAGGAGCATCTCAAGGCAGTCATGTGGCCGCAATTATGATTTGCGTAACGTAAGAGCTCACACTCAAGTTGATGAGATGCACAACGATGTGATCGCTCTTACCAACACCAAGTTGACGACTAAAAAAAGTTAACGACTAAAAGGAACAACAAGAAGTTCGACGTATCGCGAGTTATGAGAGACGGGCAAAATACTAATTCTATAAATCCGTTGTTTTGCTTCGAAAGCCAAAAGCCGACTTCGTTTGAGCCTCAAAAACAAACTTGGACTTTTACGTCTAAGCTCTCCAACATCGAATTTATGAATACAAATAAGCACAGAAGCGGAAAGATAAACAAGGATAACCCCAGAGCCTAGAGGCCTAAATATTTTATAATGGGAGGCGCAGGGCTGCTGAGCTCACAAAGGACAACCCTTCATAAATCATTACAGCAAGCAGATAAAGGTCATTGGTCTGAGGATGAGAAGTTGTCAGACGAGAAGCTCTAAGCGTAGTATTACAGTTGCAGCTTTGGTAAGGTAAAAAGCATGGGGCACGAGGACGACGAGGCGGGTCACAGGGTACGGAGTAAAGGTATAATGTCATGCTACAAGATGAATGTGATGCAGACCCGGTATGGCAGGCTACATGATAAATGTGATGCAGGGATTGGGAGAGGAGTATATTCCTGCACACGTGAGCAGAATCATGCATCTCTAAACCAGTCGTTTCCAGCATGTGGTCTTAAGGGCTTGAAAGGTATGACGCGGATGTTGCACAGTTATCGGTGCACAAATTTGTGTCGACATTTCATAAAAAAAAACATTTCTCCTGGTAATTGTTTCATTTTATAATTTACCTACGCAGGTAACCTTGTGTCGGGCGAGGCGTAATTGAAATTGTAACCTACAACGTCTCATTACCAATACTTACTTATACTACTACTTTATTACTACTGCGTAATTACTTTTACCCAGGCGTATTGCTTGTACATGGATATTGTTTGTAAAGAGATATGGCTTTTTACAGGCGTATTGCTTGCACAGAGATATTGCTATTACAGGCGTATTACTTTCACCCGAGTTTTATATAAGCCAGACAACGGCATTCAGGTGAGGAAGTACCGTCTAGACACCGAGTTCGCTGGCGCCCAGTTCGAGGAAATCGCGAATACCGACGAGAGCGCCTAACTTGTTGCTGATAGAAGCACGTCTAATTCAGGCTCCTCATTTAGCAGCGACGTAACAGCACCGGAGCTGATCATGAGACTTAATTAACATTTGCACGGGGAGTGCAGTAAAGCAAGGATTTAATAAATGGTGATAAATAACCACTCGACTCCCGGTCGTGGGCTACAAGAGGACATACGAATAATTTCGTAGAGTGCATGTGACACAATATAAATGAATCTACAACATAAGTATCTTTGAGTTAAACCGATAGAATAAGATTATCCGAATAAAAACCTCCCTCAACGATTATTCGCCATTATTCCAATCGTATTACAATTTATTGATTGATAATATTCAATAAGGTTCACTAATAATCGAAAGCCTGAATTTGCGATGGTGTTATGCCCATCGCTCAAGTTTGCTCTTTTATACCAAAAGTAGAGTATATCTACGGTATATTATCAAGTTCAAGTCGGTACTGCTAGTTTAAATTAATGAGCCAACGTAATTCAGGCTACACGTGATTAGAAGAGGGATGGGAGCGAGATCCACGTCTGAGCGAACCTTGAGCTAGTTGATGAACCAAAGCGGTAGCTCGCGATTAACACATCCTCATTAAATGATAGTTCTAAGATAAAACGATGGGTTTACCCTCATTAGTGCGGATACAGCACCAGAATAACAGGTGGCTAGACAACTAGCAATGTTCGATCGGGAAGGGGATCGCTTACGCAACCAAATATGGGATCTACGTAATAAAGAACTCCACCAGCATAGCTCTTTTCGCGCGTCTGCGAGTCTTTATCATCCCAAAATTATGGCTGCTCCGAGACATCTGACCAGAAAAGCGAACGACGCAGTATCCAAACCTACTTTGGGAGAAGGGCTTCTCAATACACGTCGTCCACAGACGTGATCGAGATGGAGAAAGTCCAAACTGAAATAATTGTCAAAAACAACGTTCGTTTGGTTCGTTCAATATAAGCGGAAATCAATACCCGAGACAGCTAGCCGCGAGCAACTCGATATTAGGTTAGTTTCTGAGTTTTTCGTTGACTATTGATGTGTGGAATACGACTTTTTTTTTTGAGACACGTTAATCGAGGTTATACGATCGAAGCTATCTCAACGTGAATTCTATGTCCGAAGAGAGATAAAAAAAGAGGAAAGAAACGTAGATAAAAAGTTTCATTGTTTAAAATAGGCAGTTCATGAATGTAATTTTGATCATAAATGCAATTATATTCGATAACAATGTCAATGCTAATTGTGACATTAAATAACACAGAAATGAACACGATGAGATATTTTTATTTCAAAAAATAAGTTTTGCTTTTAATTAATATCTATATTATGAATTTCTACAGAGACTTGATCCTGTTAAACCACATACATTTGCACTCGCTATCGACACTGAAAAAGTAAAGCCTTTATTCTCTCACGTTCAATTTCAGCGGAGGTCCCAAAAGAAAGGTAAGCTGACCCAGACGAAGAAATGGGTGAATATTCGTCGAGCAAACAGAGCCGCCATAAGAGCATCCAGCCTCGACAATTAGAGCAAACAAAAATTCCTGGGTCATATATTTAACCGAGGCTTTAATGGGCAAACACTGCAATTTGGGTAATTTCAGCAATTTGCAAGATCACGAAGGCGGGCACAAGAGGAAGCAAATTCTGCCGTCTTAAAGCCGCCCCAGTCCTGCTTCTGTCCTGGGAGAATAATTTAAACGAGCGGAATATTTTCCGGAGTCAGTTTGCAAACATAGGAATGATTAACATAGTACCGTAACAAAAATATCCACGGCTATTGCGAGCGGATTATACCCACGATGCAATATGTAAGTGTTTTTCATCGTCCTAAGATAATGTCCTAAGATAATGTCCTGAAGCTGCAAGGATATTTTGTGCCAACAAAATTCCAGAAAATGAAGCTCACTCAGTGAATAAGGATGTTAAAATTTCGAATTTTAAACAGGGCAAAGTCCCTGCGGCCATGGGAGCAAATTCAAACACGGCCAAATATCATTCATTCCAGTATACGACACACAAGGCGGCTGAAGTAGCAGCAATTTTATCAGAAGGGGAAGCGGCAGCTTTTGCATATCAAGCAGCAGCTCATAAGCAGGACTTAGTTAGCAATATTTCTCATGAGATATTGCCGTGATCTAATGGAAACGTTGGCGAGCCTAGGCCAGACTTCTCTTGTACGAGACCAGCCTTAGTGTGAGGGACTGGAAATACACTTTAACAAAGATCAGTTAAACTGTTAAAACATAATATGAATACTACGGGGCGAAAAGAAGTAAAACTTTTTAGTAAATTTTTGTAACAAAATTCCCGTAATAAACTTAGCAGGCACGGCAGTGTTGATATTATCGACTGCTATTGATGATTTTTAATGTAAGGAATGAGTTCAATTTTTATAGTTTTAGCTATGGAAGCAATTTCCTAAAAAATACTCGCCAGATTTATATTCCGAGATAAAACTGTTGACATTTGGAACAAACAATCGATTAAAAAGAAAGCAACTTGCAACAAAAATTTGATGTGAGTCATTGGCTTTGCGAAAGTCGATCTAGGAAGACAATTTAGTGTACAATAGATACCGAGATATTCGCGACAAACAATCAGAGAGCAATTAACATATAAATTGGCATTATAAGGGGCTGTCGTAAGCACGCGGTGACACAGAGGCACCCTCAAGCCAAGCACGGATACACTTGGCACAGGAATAAAATTTACATTTTATTTTGCGGACATTGCAAACTTTGACACATCGTAACTAAGAGTTCAGAAGTGCAAAGCATATATTAAACGAAAGAATTGAAAATTTTAGATCAATTATCCTAGTTAGCGAATTTAGCCGCAGTAGCAAGATCATTTAGCACGTTGAATAAAAAATTGGAAGAACTTACATACTTTCATTCTATATTATTGTTCATTTTTCACCGCTAGCCCTGTTTTATAGAAAATACATTTTTTTTGCCGGCATTGGAACAGGTTTCGTATAATAAAATGTGTACTAAAAATTTCTTGGCCCACAGCAATCTAGGACAAGGTTTGGTCGTAACATTACTAGCATAATGTTATTTATTCACATGTGACCAAATTAGAATTTTATATAGTCTCCCCGTACCTGCTTCTATCCACAAATCTAGAGACCATTAATTCCATCAATGTTAAATTTTTGCCAAGCAGCTGATGTTCTCAGTAATTAAGTCTGAATGGAATAATCGCGGTTGGTAATTGGAGTGAGGCAGAGAGATAAGCGTAGGAGGGAAAAAGGTGCCGAGAAGGTGATTGAATTCCGAATTGATTATTCTGCACTTGTGTGTCGCGTCGCGGAATCCGTCAAGTTTTAGAGTTTAAGCTTCC